TTGCAGAGACATCAACGACAAGATCAACGTGATCGACGAGGAGCGATACGACCTGAATATAAAAGTCACTAAATCCGACAAGGAGGTAAAAAATAACTCAATATATGTATAATACGAGTAAATGTGTATAAATCCTTTCAAAATACAACACCAGAGCATAACTATCTTTAACTGCTAAGGTTTTAAGACATGTTTTGCAAAATAAAAGCCCAGCAGAGTAACTGTGTTCTCACAGAAATCTAACATTGAATGCTTGCTTTTCAAAATAAAAGACCCAGTGTGACTATCCTTACAGAAAGCTTAAGATGAGGCTTGTTTTTCAAAGTAAAACTGTATGTCAACCGTAAAACTATATATGGTTGTTGTTTTTCATATTAAAAGCACCAGATGGTAACTGCATATTAAAAGGGAACTCAAGCCCAAGTCTTTTTTGTTTTACTCTGAGATGATAGCTATAACATTTCAAAAAGTAATTCAAAAATATGTTATCGCTCTCTTCAGTTAAGCTTTGTGACGCTTATAGTAAACACATTTTCCATCATCTGTGACGTCCCTCTTTCCCTCCAGATCGACGACCTGAAGATCAAGGTTCAGGATCTGATGGGAAAGTTCAAGAAGCCGGTCCTGAGGAAAGTCCGAATGTCTGCAGACGCCATGTTGAAAGCTCTGCTGGGCTCAAAACACACCGTGAACATGGAGCTGAGAGCCAACCTGAAGCAGGTCAAGAAGGAGGTCAAAGAGGAGGTGAGGACTCTTTAAAGTAGAGACACTACTGATATACACCTGAACATCAGCAGGAGAGGACTCTTTAAAGTAGAGACACTACTGATATACACCTGAACATCAGCAGGAGAGGACTCTTTAAAGTAGAGACACTACTGATATACACCTGAACATCAGCAGGAGAGGACTCTTTAAAGTAGAGACACTACTGATATACACCTGAACATCAGCAGGAGAGGACTCTTTAAAGTAGAGGCACTACATACTGATATACACCTGAACATCAGCAGGAGAGGACTCTTTAAAGTAGAGACACTACTGATATACACCTGAACATCAGCAGGAGAGGACGCTTTAAAGTAGAGACACTACTGATATACACCTGAAAATCAGCAGGAGAGGACTCTTTAAAGTAGAGACACTAACATACTGATATACACCTGACCATCAGCAGGAGAGGACTCTTTAAAGTAGAGACACTAACATACTGATATACACCTGAACATCAGCAGGAGAGGACTCTTTAAAGTAGAGACACTACATACTGATATCCACCTGAACATCAGCAGGAGAGGACTCTTTAAAGTAGAGACACTACATACTGATATCCACCTGAACATCAGCAGGAGAGGACTCTTTAAAGTAGAGACACTACATACTGATATACACCTGAACATCAGCAGGAGAGGACTCTTTAAAGTAGAGACACTACATACTGATATACACCTGAAACATCAGCAGGAGAGGACTCTTTAAAGTAGAGACACTACATACTGATATACACCTGAACATCAGCAGGAGAGGACTCTTTAAAGTAGAGACACTACATACTGATATACACCTGAACATCAGCAGGAGAGGACTCTTTAAAGTAGAGACACTACATACTGATATACACCTGAACATCAGCAGGAGAGGACTCTTTAAAGTAGAGACACTACATACTGATATACACCTGAACATCAGCAGGAGAGGACTCTTTAAAGTAGAGACACTACATACTGATATACACCTGAACATCAGCAGGAGAGGACTCTTTAAAGTAGAGACACTACATACTGATATCCACCTGAACATCAGCAGGAGAGGACTCTTTAAAGTAGAGACACTACATACTGATATCCACCTGAACATCAGCAGGAGAGGACTCTTTAAAGTAGAGACACTACATACTGATATACACCTGAACATCAGCAGGAGAGGACTCTTTAAAGTAGAGACACTACATACTGATATACACCTGAACATCAGCAGGAGAGGACTCTTTAAAGTAGAGACACTACATACTGATATACACCTGAACATCAGCAGGAGAGGACTCTTTAAAGTAGAGACACTACATACTGATATACACCTGAACATCAGCAGGAGAGGACTCTTTAAAGTAGAGACACTACATACTGATATACACCTGAACATCAGCAGGAGAGGACTCTTTAAAGTAGAGACACTACATACTGATATACACCTGAACTTCAGCAGGAGAGGACTCTTTAAAGTAGAGACACTACATACTGATATACACCTGAACATTAGCAGAGAGAGGACTCTTTAAAGTAGAGACACTACATACTGATATACACCTGAACATCAGCAGGAGAGGACTTTTTAAAGTAGAGACACTACATACTGATATACACCTGGACATCAGCAGGAGAGGACTCTTTAAAGTAGAGACACTACATACTGATATACACCTGAACATCAGCAGGAGAGGACTCTTTAAAGTAGAGACACTACATACTGATATACACCTGAACATCAGCAGGAGAGGACTTTTTAAAGTAGAGACACTACATACTGATATACACCTGGACATCAGCAGGAGAGGACTCTTTAAAGTAGAGACACTACACACTGATATACACCTGAACATCAGCAGGAGAGGACTCTTTAAAGTAGAGACACTGATTTCTGTTTGTGTTTCAGGATAAGGAGCTGCGAGATGTCGGTGATTGGCGTAAAAACATTGAAGACAAAGCCGGCATGGACGGGAGGAAGAAGATGTTCGAGACCGAGGCTTAAACAAGCTGCTTCATTTTCAAAAGTCCCCGTTTTCTATGGACTGGATTAATCACCAGATTCCTTGTGAGCTGCACAAATTTCAACAGAATAAACAAACTGAATTAGTCGTTTTAGTTTCACGATTATTTGTAAAACCTTGAATTACGAGCGATCTTTAAAGATTAGGACAGAATTCAGAAACATACGAGCACATAGTTTGGTGGTTTGGTGCCTAACGATGAAGACAGTGCAAAAGTTAAGAGACATCATATTAAAAAAGCAACATTTTCAATAGAAAATATAATTTGTTTAATTATGAAATGTACATGAGTAAATGTGTATAAATCCTTTCAAAATACAACACCAGAGTATAACTAACTTTAACTGCTAAGGTTTTAAGACATTTTTTAAGTTTAATTAATTTTCTTGCAAAATAAAAGCCCAGCAGAGTAACTGTGTTCTCACAGAAATCTAACATTGAATGCTTGCTTTTCAAAATAAAAGACCCAGACTGTATCCTTACAGAAAGCTTAAGATGAGGCTTGTTTTTCAAAGTAAAAGCTTTAACTCCCATTGTATGTCAACCGTAAAACTATATATGGTTGTTGTTTTTCATAATAAAAGCACCAGATGGTAACTGCACATTAAAAGGGAACTCAAGCCCAAGTCCTTTTTGTTTTACTCTCGTGTGTACATGCTGAGATGATAGCTATAACATTTCAAAAAGTAATTCATTTCATTTCAAAAATATGTTATCAGTCTCTTCAGTTAAGCTTTGTCACGCTACATACTGATATACACCTGAGCATCAGCAGGAGAGGACTCTTTAAAGTAGAGACACTACATACTGATATACACCTGAACATCAGCAGGAGAGGACTCTTTAAAGTAGAGACACTACATACTGATATACACCTGAACATCAGCAGGAGAGGACTCTTTAAAGTAGAGACACTACATACTGATATACACCTGAACATCAGCAGGAGAGGACTCTTTAAAGTAGAGAGACTACATACTGATATACACCTGAACATCAGCAGGAGAGGACTCTTTAAAGTAGAGACACTACATACTGATATACACCTGAACATCAGCAGGAGAGGACTCTTTAAAGTAGAGACACTACATACTGTGAAATGTGAAATGTACAGGTTTGTGCAGAAATGTGCAAAATATTGCCCAGAGGATGTGCAAAAGTTTTTAAACTTTCGCACATCCTCTGGGCAATATTTTGAAGGACATGAAAGACAAATAGTGGTTATTAATACTTTTAGCGTAAGACAGGAACAATAGAAAAAATAACATCTTTAGAAACACAGTAAAAAAAAGCTAAATCATCAATTTATCGTTCATCAAAATCCGATGTGATCATTTAATGTCTTGTTGTTTCCGTCCGAAGCCCAAACATACATTTATTATGATATTTAACGTCCAAAAGCATAAATCAGTTTTTTTGAGAGGCTGAAAGCAGAAAACATGTTGGGCAGTTCTTAATTCAACTAAAATCTATAAAAATGCAAAACATTGTATATCGTATAACCGTATGGGTGGAACTGCAAAAAAAGGTTAGAAAAGCTGTGTGGCATCGCTTCATGCTACTTCTCCCAATAAAATAAACCAACAAATGAAACTCTTATGAAAGAGAACATGTAATTAGTTTTATTTAAAGAGGCCCTATTGTGCTCTTGGTGCTTCCCCTCGGTTTGAGTGCATGTAAATGGCACAAAATCCAAATATCAACCAGATAATTAGCATAATAGGGCCTCTTTAAATGTCATACCCTTCCAGACCGTATAACGTGTGCATAGTTAAAGTGTGCGAGTGTTAAAAGGCAGAGGGGGTAATCCAGTTCCTGTTTTACGACTTGTGAATCCACTGAAGCTTTAAACCCCAGCTGGAGACGTCACAGAAATATAACCTCAAATAATATCAACATGTTTCCTCTGTGAAGAATATTGACCGTCCTGCTGGTGACAGAGAGATTACACAACAAAAAGATCTGAGGTAAGTCAGTGTTTTTGTTATTATTTAAATCGATATGCTGCATTTTTTCATTTTAACCTTTTGTGTATTCAAGAAGAAAAACATGTGCATGTACGATAACAATTTTAACTTTTGTTTCTTTTAAGTATTCATATTAATCTAAACTTCAGCAAACAGTGAGTTGAAATCAGATTAAAACGTCTTCTCCAGTCCAGAAAATGTGCCCTGATGATTTTAATATGTTTGACAAATAATGTTTTCCATCATGTTTTTTTTGCAAAGATTTCCATTTTCTTTCTTAATTACTTCAATTTATTTTCTCAATATTTTAAAAAAATTCTTAAAATATAATGCCTTTTTTAAAAAAAAATTATTTCTATCAACCTTAAAAAAATGTATTCAAATTTTTATTTTTAAACATTATGACTTTTTATTAAAAATTACAACTTATATATTTTTGGCCCAAAAAATATTACTATTGTTTCACTAAAATGTCAGTCAGTCCATAGTATGATGAGCTTTTCTGTAGCAGAACATGTTAAAGGTCGCCTATCGTGCTATTTCTAGGCAACAGCATAGGTCTCAGATATATACAAATACATTAAAAACATGTCTATGAAGTGTTTGGCTCAAAACACCAAACAGATCATTCTAGCCATGCCTCATATCCCTCTGTTTCACTTCCTGTTTCTAAAGTGCTGATCTGGGTATAAAGCTTTAAAGAGGAGGGGTCTGAGCTCATGCGGGACCCGGCAGCTACTGTCTAAACTAAATGCTGCCGTGATGAAACGCCATATCATGGATTATCAAGGATTCTCTCTGAAACAGTTTGGAGCTCAAAGGCTTTCTCTCTTGCCGGTTATACCACAAGGTGAGTTCCTTTTTACTTCCTGCTTCTTCACACACATGCTCTCCAGTACAGGTTAGCTCTGAGTGTTAGCGATGCTAATGTAAACACCGACCATATTACGTCCAAAACAGTCGGGCATTGTTTCTGATAGCAACGTTTCTGATTAGGCCGTGGGTCCACATTTCAGATATTACGTCATATCGGACGCAAATCTGGATCAGCTCCGTTGTTCCCCGTTTTTAGAGATTTGGGTACGGAGGAAAAGAGAGAGGGTTTTATTTTCTGACGCTGCGTGAGTTCCCCGACACACGGGGACACATGTTGATGTAGAGAAGACATCACAAAGTGCATTTTGCATGATAAGTCCCCTTTAATACTCAAGTAAAGACACTAGTAGTTTTACAATAATATATATAAATACTGCACACATATTCAGAATCCTTTCCTAAGGCGAGACACGGCAGGCAAAAACATCGTTTTTCAAGTACTGGTCAATTTTGAGATTTTGTGCTATTTTGATTCCATAACATGTTTTCTTTCAGGCTTTTGGAAGGAAAACGTACAAAATACACATTTAAGTGTTTATTTTACTATAGTTTGTCTATTTGCGTCTGTAGATTCCTCCTAAATTCACCAAAAGTTAGCATTCTAACGTAACATAAAGTACCGCGACCGCTGTGTGCACCATGTCAACAGAGGTATCGCTGGAAAGCTCCGTCTCTCCTGCACAATCTCATCGGATCCAAATATGGTCATCTCCTTTGTATCAGCAACCAATCGTGAAAGCACAAAGGGGTCTTAAACCAAGAAACGAAATCTCATTGGCTGGTGTCAATTTCTGACAACGTGATTCGTTCAGATGCGTCACGTGGTGTGCTAAAACACTTCCCGGTTAGCTTTCAGCTAGAAATTGAAATCTCAAAATGCCAAAAGAACGGCGAAAAAAACGTTCACAGAGAAGACGACAACAATTGTCACTTGCACGAAGCAAGGTTATAAAAAACAAATGACCCCGAACATGAAATACCTTCACGGAGTGCGTCGATGCGCAAGCTGTCATCCAGAGAACAGGAGGGTTTAGCTAGCGCCTCACTGCAATCTTTAACCATCTTTTCACCAGGAGACTATGCTCCAATTCAAACACTGAGTAAGTGCATTGAACAAATCAATGACTGGATGTGTCAGAACTTTCTCCAATTAAACAAAGATAAAACTGAGGTAATGGTTTTTGGAGCCAAGGCAGAACGTATAAAAGTTAGCGCTGAGCTTCAGTGTGCAATGTTCAAAACAACAGATAAAGCCATAAATCTAGGTGTAGTCATGGACTCTGACCTGAGTTTCAACAGTCACATTAAAACAGTTACTAAATCAGCCTACTATCACCTAAAGAATATATCTAGGATTAAAAGACTAATGTCACAGCAGGATTTGGAAAAACTTGTCCATGCTTTTATCTTCAGCAGACTCGACTACTGCAATGGTGTCTTCACAGGTCTCACTAAAACATCTATTAGGAAGCTGCAGCTGATTCAGAACGCCGCTGCTCGAGTCCTCACTAACACTAAGAAAGTGGATCACTCCTGTTCTGAAGTCTTTACACTGGCTTCCTGTGTGTCAAAGAATAGATTTCTAAATACTGCTGCTGGTTTATAAAGCACTGAATGGTTTAGGCCCAAAATACATTTCTGACCTCCTGCTAAATGATGAACCATCCAGATCTCTCAGGTCTTCAGGGACTGGTCAGCTTTCTGTCCCCAGAGTCAGAACTAAACATGGAGAAGCAGCGTTCAGTTATTATGCTCCAAATATCTGGAACAAACTCCCAGAAACCTGCAGGTCCGCTGCAACTCTGACTACTTTTAAATCCAGCAAGAAGACTTTTCTTTTTGTCGCTGCTTTTAATTGAACTATTCATATCTTAGACTGCACTGTAACTTTTATCCATGTACTTTTTTCTTTTAATGTTTAATTGACAGCACTGTAACTTTTATCCATGTATTTTTATTTTTTTTTAATTTTTTTTTTAATGTTTATTTTATTAGCTTTTCTTTTTAATGACTGATTTTAAATGCCATTTTCTTAATGTCTTTCATTTTTTGTAAAGCACTTTGAATTGCCTTGTGTTGAAAAGTGCTATATAAATAAACTTGCCTTGCCTTGCCTTGCCTTTAAAGGTCGTTTTCTCAAAATGAGTTTTTTCTCCTACTCTGAGTTCGAAATTTCAACTTCAGTAGCACGTAGATACACCAAACCTTCCAGTTATATTCCTATTAATATTATGAAGGCTTTTACAGAAGGGTTTGTTCATATATAATTCATAGCCTGAATTATACAACATTGTATACCTAAAAACATGGCGAAAATGGATATTTTAGGGCTGTTGACAGTATTTTCTGATTTATGGAGTGATGAAAAGAGATATCCAAAATCCCTTCTGTAAAAGCCTTAGATACTAATATGACTACAAAATGAAAGAAGAATTTTGAATCTGGCTATATCCAAAGTTCAGATTTCGATTCCTGAAATGTGTTAAAATATGTGCATATTTAATGAGATAATGGATAATTTGCATATTTAAACATGCTATTTCAGAAACTTGTAATACAAAAGACAATTGCCTTATTGTAAGTAATTAACTGGAGAAATTTCTAGCTGATACCTTTAAGTTAAAAAAAATTACCCTATTCACCTGGGGTGTCTCGCCTTATTAAATCCCTTCACAAACACATCATGTATTTATGCAAAAGTAATGTGTAAAATAAATGTCGTGCAGTTAAAAATATAGAGATATTTTACTTATGAGATGTACTGTTGTTGTGTATTGTAAATACTCAAAGAAATTACCTTATAATTAATGAAGTACTTTAGTAAATGTACCTCCACTGTTTTTCTACATAATCAAAACCAACCCTTCTTACAAGATAATATTTGTGAAGGGGAATTCTCTAAAAAATAAAAGCCTCCCACCACTGGAGGAGTCTACAAAATAAAAGCATGATTAGAGCTGTATATTTATATAATATATTAACTTTTAATTACAAAATGCCTGTGTGGTTTAATCACTTTTTCTGATGAGGATAAGACAGATAACAATCTTAAAGGGCGGGTTATTATAATGATGGGGGGGGGGGGGGGCAGATGACACTGGACTGTATTTCATGACCTTGGCAGCCCATTGGTTTGACAGTAATCCACTGCCATACAGAGAAAGTGGAGGATTTAAAGGCTATCGCACATTGCAATATATACCTTCCTAACTCTGGCTGTGTCTGTAGTCGCCGAGCACTCTGCCTCCGAGACAGCAAGACCTTTCCTGTGAGTTTTACACGAGATGGAGAGTGTTTTTTACTGCTTTGCATGCCCATTGTTTGCAGGACAGCAGGTAGAAACGCTTCAAATTGTCAGTATGGGTGTTTAGTTTAGTTACATTTGGATTTTGTCGAAGAAAAAACTTTAATTTATTTTAATTTAGCTGTTTTTTTAATTAATTTTATCTGTTTAAAAAGCCATCCAGTCATCTGTTGGGCTTTTATTTTGAAAAGCATGCCTCATCCAGAGCTTTTTGTAATCAATGGGGCTTTTATTTCTGAATAACAACCCTTTGTCTAAGCTTTTTGTTATTCTTGTGGGCATTTATTTTGAAAAACAAGCCTCATTTTAAGCTTAAATAGGATCTTTTTCATGTTTTAGCACCCGACAATAGCTTCTTGAAGGTCGTTTTGCGTGTTTATTTGACTACTCGTACTCTTGTAACCCGAGAGGTAGTATTTTCTTTGTATCTATGTGGAAACACGGGTGGCAACGCGGTGATTTACGGCCCGCTGATGTGGCGCGCTGTAAGCTAACACCACTTCAAGAAGGGCTTCTGAAAGAGGATCCTCCGGTGTTTATCTCTCCTGTCAGCGCCGAGGCTCGGGAGGAAAACCTCGTCTAATCTGCAGGAACTTTAATCCCCGAGCGTTAAATTTAGCCCGTTTTCTCCGCACACATTCAGATGTTAAAGCGACGCCAACGCTTTATTTAACAAACAAGGCTACGGTGACAGAGAAGCTTCTAGCAGATACTTAGTCAAGGTCTTGTTCTGTCTTTTGTAGTTTTAGGTCATGTGGCAATGACATTTTGTATGTGGAGAAATAAACTGGTGTAAACTTCAGTTTTAGACTTTAACAAACTACTATTTTTACCTTTTTTATATTTAACTTGTACTTTGCCAACGTTTTTCTGATCTTTTCCATGGAGATGATAAAGCAAATTAAGTGGAGGACAGTAAATGTACTCTTCCTCAAAACAAGTTTTATTTGGCATTTGTATAACTCTTGTTGCTATAAGATGTATGCAGGGGCGCCGCTTGCGAACAGGCAACTGCTTGGGGCCCCGGACCAGAAGGGGGCCCCCAAAGAAGGTAGATTAAGAGGGTCCACAGCAACGACAACATGAAACACCCTTTCATGTACTGCAACGACATGTCGGGAAACCCCCTCAAGGCGGCCCCATGCATAGTGCGCCGTAAAATAATGCTTCTTCGCGGGGGGGGGGCACCACTGTTGGTGATGAAAGCTGGTTCGAGGGGGGGCCCCCAGTGAATGTTTGCCTAGGGCCCCCACAGACTCTAGAATCGCCACTGGCTGTATGTATACAACATTCAGTTATTTTGCTGTAACTTTAAAATAATCTGCAGGAACTTTAATCCCTGAGCGTTAAATTTAGCCCGTTTTCTCCACAGACATTCAGATGTTAAAGCGACGCCAACACTTTATTTAACAAACAAGGCTACGGAGATACAGAAGCTTCTACTTCTTCTCATTTTAGGTATATGTCTCTCTTTTCTCTCTTGAAGGTTTAATGGCAATAACATTTAGATTTTTGATATATCTTTAAAAAAAGAATTTCAGTCAGGGGTTTACTTTGTTTTACTCATAACTTTCCCAAAGTCTTTCTGCTCCTTGGAGAAAACAGTAAATGTACTTATATTTTACATACATGTTTTCTCTTGTAGTTTTAGTCTCTTCTATATCTTTAAGATAATTGGAGACAGTTTTCAGTCTTTGAGGAGAAAAAGCTGGTGTTTAAGACTTTAACGAAGCACTATTTTGAGTATTTTCAATATTTAAACCAAATTAAGTGGAGGACAGTAAATGTACTCATGTCTTCGAAATTACAAGTTTCATTTGGCATTTTTACAAGTATAACTCTTGTAGCTTTTAGTCTACGAGACTTTAACGTATACCATTTTGAGTTTTTTTAAATATTTAACTTGTACATTACCATCGTTTTTCTGATCTTTTCTATGGAGATGCTAAACCAAATGAAGCGGAGGACAGTACATGTACTTTTGTACTCTCCTTATTCAAAATTACAAGTTGTATTTGAAGTATAACTCGTGTTGCTTTAGGTCATATGTAAATAACATTTATTTATTTTGCTGTAACTTTAAGATGATTCAAGTTTTCAGTGTCCGGAGACTTCAACGCTTGTCCTATTTTTGAGTATTTTAAATATCTAACTTGTACCATGGAGATGACAGTAAATGTACTTATGTACTATTCTTCTCATAAACAACACATTTCATCCTAGATATATGTTTTCTCTTGTAGTTTTACTGTAGGTCATGTGGCAATGACATTTTACTATATCTTTAAGATAATTGGTGACCGTTTTCAGTCTTCGGGGAGAAATAAACTGGTGCAAAATTCAGTTTTAGACTTTAACAACGTACTATTTAAAAAAAGATGGTACTTTACCAACGTTTTTCCGATATTTTCTATGGAGATGCTAAACCAAACTAAATGGACAGTAAATGTACTTTTGTACTATTCTTCTTCACAGTTTCACGTTTTATTTTAAGTATAACTCTTGTAGCTTTAGGTTATATGGAAATAAAAGGCATATTAATTTTTACTGTATTTAACAGATAACTTGTGAGGTATTCAGTGTTCAGTCTTCGGAGGGAAACATGGTGTAAACTTTAGTGGTTGAAACACAATTTGAAGGTCTTTTATTTCCATTTTATACTCAACTACTCTCTCTGAAAGTGCATTAGTAGTAGACTCATAGATGTATATACGTTCCCGGTCAAGATTTAACATGCAAGATTAGTTTAAAAACCATCCTGTTAAAGATAAAATCTCTATAAATAAAGTGTAAAACCTATATATTGTGCTCTCTAAGGAATTCAACTACTAATAGCATTTTAAGTATTTAAAATGATCCCTACTTTGTTTACAATAAAATGCTGCTTCCTTGAATACATCAATAATAATTTGATGATTTTGCATCCGGAGTACTTTGACATTTGTAGTACATTTGGAGGCTTGTGTACTTTTACACGAGTACGTATTTCTGAGAGGTTTTTTGCTTAAGTAGTAATACTTTTATTTAAGTAAAGATCTAGATATTTATCCACCACAAGTCTTCTTTTTGTTTGTAATCAATTCTCCTACAATGAACAGTTTTTTCTCTGGTTTTCCGTAACTTCATGAACTTTTCTTACCAATATCTTTTCTTTTTTAGATACTCCTTTAAGCCCGGTGGGTTTTAAATGTTAATGCCATTGTACCCTCGTGTCTGTACTTCAGTCAGTGTGAAGGGAATTAACTGTTCTGAGGTCAGTTATTTTCACCGTAACGTCTCGGCTTCGTGTTTCTTCGAAGCCTCCGGAGACAATCCTAAACTCCAGTTACTTAAGAACAAAAACCACAGCCTATATTTAACCGTGATATTATCCCAGCTCCAAAGCCAACGTGTTGTTATGGCCCCTTGAGTTTGGAGGGTCTTAAAATACCCCGAGAGCCCCGGAGACCCTCCACCTGTTGCTGGTTCACAGATGACGGCCATTTGTTCCCGAGGCAGAAATGTGTTTTGGGATTCCTGCGCCGAGTCTCTTCTTTTAAGACGAGCCCGCTGTCATTTATTTTTTAAACATAATGAAGATGTTGGGAACAGCTGAGGCTCCGGGAATAGATTTTTAATCCATCACTCCGTCACTATCCGGACTCTCACAACAGGGGAAGTCAAGTTCATGTAGATGGATGTCGTATCAAATAACTAAGTACACTTATTCAGGTGCTGTAATTCAATATCATTTTTAAGATACTTCTATACTTCATTATCTTCAGTGCTTCTTTATACTCCACTACTTTTTTGCTGCACTACATTTCTAGTTAATAGTAAATGGTTCCAAATATTGTGGTAAATAAACATTACATTAGAAATTGTAAGTGTTTAAAGCAACAAAGAAGTACATTAAATAGTTATGGGGTTAGGGTTGAGTTGGCAGTTTGTTGACCTGATTTTGTTGTAGCCTACTACTGGTTGTTATGTAACTTTTTGATGGTATTGCTGCAGCATGTAAAGCTAATTGTTGTGTGTCTGTGTGTGTGTGTGTGTGTGTGTGTGTGTGTGTGTGTGTGTGTGTGTGTGTGTGTGTGTGTGTGTGTGTGTGTGTGTGTGTGTGTGTGTGTGTGTGTGTGTGTGTGTGTGTGTGTGTGTGTGTGTGTGTGTGTGTAGCAGTAATTCGTACAAAGGATAATCTTTGAGAATGAAACTGAAACAAAGTCATGTATAAGTCTAAAAGCTGACTTGCTAATTTAATGCTAACATGCTAAAAATCTAGCATGTTATTATGCTATGGGCTAGCGTTTAGCATGTAACATTTATCATGTTACTGTACCTTCATTTAGTGAGTAGATATACTCAAATGTAACATTTAAAGTTACGATGAAACTAACAGCATGTTAGCATAACTTCATATAGTGAGTAAATGTGTTTAAATTAAGCCTTTATAGTTAACTTGTAATCTAACAGCATGTTAGCATTAGCCTCCCATTAGCAAAAAACATGGTAGCAGCTAGGCTAATCTTCATGTGGTCCGCATGAGAAAACCTCACATTATATATGTAAAATTAACAAAAGCTAACAAACTACACATTACCAATACATTCCTGGTGGTAATACAAATAGCAGAACCCTAAAACCTGTATAGTAAAATTAAAAAAATACAATTGTAAACAATGGTTATCAGTTTTAGAAGTTTTTATGATTCATACCCAGAAATACTTTATAATACTTTTCTGATCCCAGGTTTGTAGGCATTGTACTAACATATCTAACCATAAGCAGAACTATAGTGTACTAATACTATTGGTAAGAATGGGGTGTATGGTGATAGTTTAATGCAGAATAGTTTAGAGTAACACTTTGACCTGTTGGTGGTACTACAATAAAAAAGTAATTCTCTTTTGAAAGTAATATCCTGGACAATCCATCCCATCATTTCTTGGTGTTATTTGCAGCCCAGTTGTCTGGACCTCCATCTC